AGCAATTTGACTTGAAAATAAAGTGATCCAAGGAATAGCAGGCATTGCACTTCTAAGAGCTGGACAYGGTCAGTTGTTAGTCATGTTCACCCAGAAGGAAGAACTCAAACCAAGGAGTGGCTGCTTWTACTTGGTGCTTTTTTTATTTACTGTTGCATTTTAATAGTCTGAATTATTTATTTACTCACAGTCCTTGCTTTGCTAGTTTGGTGGTTGCCCTAATTCATGTACGTGCTGTTGCCCAAAGCTGATGAAATGCAGTGCATGTGGTTAGAGTTTCACACCAGAAACACCTGGGGTGTCACTGCTGCAGTAGTAGGGATTGYTGGATGGAATTTCATGGCTTCATTTCTTCACCCCTGACCCACTTAGAGATGCTGATCACTATCTTCTCACTCATACTCAGGGTTTTGTGGTCATTTACTGTTCAGAAGCTTGTAGCTTCCTTTGTTTTGGGTTTTGTTTTTTTTTTAAATTTGTCTGTGTGCTCAAAATGTGGTTTCTGTTAATCTATTAGGACGTCCTAAGGGTATATTTCATTATCACCTTAGAGAGAATGTAGAAAGCATATATAGCTAGATTTTCACTTCAACAAAATCATAAGCATCTAAAATAAGCATTTCCCATTTCTTTAAAGGCTTCCTAGGTCTCAGAATCTTTATTAATCTCACTGCCTCCCCCTTCAGGACACAACWGTGAAGGGAAAACAAATGTTCAAATTGTAAATGCCGTATGGGAATGGAGGAGAAAAAAAGATAAAAGAAGCCAAACCAAAATGACAGTTCAAGTGTTCATATGTTAATCTCTTTATCCCCCATCCTTTTATGTCTTGCTATTAGGTCAGTCACCATCCACCTATTTCTGCATGCCATGCTGAATCTGTGAATTTTGCTTTTTGGCAAGGTAACTCTTCAGTTTATCATTTGCTTTTACAATGTTCATAATATTTTTATTCTATGTCTAACAAAAAATATCCAGAAATTAGTAAAATATGAAATTCCTTGCTTAAATGGTATTAGAATGGTTTTATGAAATAATAGCCTACACTTACTTGCATGCTTTTTACTTGGATCTTCTGCTTTTAAAAAAAATTCTCAAGGTATTTTGCTTTGTTTGGATTTTTTTTTAATATAACATTAATTGATTATTATTTTCATGTATGCATTTCTGCACTTCTTTAAAATCGGGTTTGTTTGGGTTTTTTTTTGGGGGGGGGGGTGATGTTGTTCTTTAGTAAAGAAGAATTGTATCTCAAGATATTTATAAAACAAGCAAGCTGGAAGACAAGTTAAATCCTGAACCTTGGCAAATCTTGTAAACTTGTCCTGAAAGCAATTTTCAAAATTAAGCTAACAGYAAGGATAAATACATTTACCTTCTCTTTCTCTGCTGGCATTATTACAGTATGTAAGATTTTGAACCATTTGGCTACTAATGTTTTTTCAAAAGATGCGTGTTGGAACTTTGTTTTCTGTATAATGCTGGTGAAGATRTCAGTCAGTAACATTACCTGTGTGGTTAGATAATTCTGGAGTGTACACAAAACATAACTGTGCCTTTTAACTCAGTTAAAATCCTTCACCCAGGACTTTGTCAATTCACAATGTAGCCATGTTGTAATTTTTTTTTTCCTGATTGACTCTGCTGACTTGATTATTGTTATTACAGATGGAGCCATACTGAAGAGAAATTGGAACCCATTAGTCTGGGTTTTATTATTCTGTGTAATTCTTTGCTTTGTAAACAAATACAAGAATCCTTTTGTTCTTAGCCCAAAAGCTAAGATGACCAAAAATTGAGTAACTTGAGTAACTTTTTATTGAGTAACTTTAATACTGTATAAATAAGAATAGATAGCAGCCTGTCTTAATAAAAATAGATGAGACTGATTTCTTTAACAGATCTTGACAACTGTTAACACTCAAATATTTTAACACTTCCATTTAGAGAATTAAGTTGTTCTATAAYAATGAAAGCTGAGAATCTGATTAATGTGAGACTCTGAGATTTGGTCTTTATGGGCACAGGACAATCAATCAGGATGCAGCAGGGCTCGGGGGGTTTTTGTTTTTAAATGTGGCTAACTGAGCTTATGGGAGGTCTAGACAATGATTTTTTTTTCCATTGTAAAGGCAATTTTTCAGTGCTGCAACCTCTTGTAATGAGGCTATATTAACTTATGTGGAAGGATTAACATAAATTTAATCATAAAGGCAGCTTGTCAGTGAGTTCAGTTCTTTCTCTTTGCAAAGATCTTTTCACTCAGCTAAAAAGCAGACAGCAACATTGCCAGAGCTGTCATCCAGCTAGGCACTGACCTTAGTTCATGTTTTTCAACATCAAGAAATCTCTTGATCATTTCTAGTGGACTAGAAGACTGGGCTCTGACAGGGACCAGTAGTTTGGAAATAGCTTTCCATGACTTATGAAGCTGACTGCTYTTGCAGAGAAGTATCAGCACATGAGCAATGGAAATTAAGGAAGTTTCAGCTTCTRCAGCATCTGTGCCTGAATTAGTGTRCAGCTAAGAGCACAGCTTTGAAATAACACTTTGCTTTTTCTCTTCAGTCCTAAAATTCTTGYATGAGCAAGTTGCACACTGGCTCCCAAGATATTTCCCACAGACTGATCTTTGTGGGACAGCTTTGCCGTTTGTGAGAACATAGAATTTGGCACAATCTGGYAATGCATTTTAACTGTTAAACTCAGTAGGGTGTGCCTTTGCCCATTTTCTTCCATCCCACTGCAGAAGAGAGAAAACCAATGCAGAATTTGCCTCAACAACRTCACACTCAAAGTAGTTTTGGAGCTCTTGTGCTCTGCAGGAATCACAACAGAATCTCTGTCACCGAASATGCTGACCCAGCATCAAACTTCAAAACCCAAAAATCCAAAAGGTCCTTTACTTGCATGATAAAAAAGTAACTTTTTAGCATGCAKAATTCTGCCCTGTATTCCATTCTAGTCTTCGCAATGACAGGCAGCTCCATGTGACTCACTCRTCACTTGTACATACACACTTGGAGATACCTGAATAATCTCCTAATTGTGGTTTGAGCATTTATCTCACAGCAGACACTAGAGTTTCTCCCAGAATTGCACAGGAAAGTGTTCTGTTTTCCTTCTGTTAGGACTAGCATCTTTTTGAGACTAGAGCTGAATTTTCCCCTCTTTTTCAGGTTGGGCAGGTAATTCCTAGAGTCTAATACATGAAGGGTGCTATTCCCCTGAGCTCTGAAGTTACTATGGAAGTTACTGTCTGATTATGTAGCCCAGTTTAACTCCATACCCCTTTTGCCATGCTCCTCTGTCTGTTTTCTTTCTCTCCCAGATGCTTCTGCTCAATAAATTTGGCTAAACTTACACTGAGTTTTCTCATATATCTATATTTTAAAAGAAATGTCATGAGACTGTGATTCAAACAAGATTTTAAAAGACTAGTTAAACTTACAGAGGGCGTTGGATTAAGTCCCTCTGCCATTTCATGCCCTTTGAAACTTTCTCTAGCCTTTTGACTGTGGATATGCTTGTTATATTTTTGTATTTGAAATTCTGCTTTTGATTTTAAAAATTTCTGCATTAGTTCTGTAGCAACTGAATTGCAGACAAAGATATGCTGCCTATAGCTTATTCAAATTCCTTTCTTTGAAAAGGTTTTTTGAGAGAGGGTTAATAACCTGTTACTTTGCTATTTAAATAACCAATAATATAATGAAAGTCAAACAAAGCAAGAAGAACAACAACAAAAAAAAAAAACCACCAACCACTGTTTGAAGGTTCCACAACATTCTTTGAACACTTCTGTTGCACTTTGTTATTTTGAATTTCTTGAAAATAAGGTAGAACCCAGAAACAGACTGCTTCACCCATGCCAATAAMTAAACCTGTCTGTTTTTTCTTCTTGTTTCAGATGTAAGATGGAAAAACAAATTCTGGGGAAAGTCCATGGAAATCGTTCCAGTTGGCACAACGCACGTAACCCTTCCAGCGTAAGTGCTGCAGTCAGGCACTGCTGTTCATGCACAGCTCAGAGGTGTTTGCACACACTGGAGCCACATTCATTCAGAGGACAGCAAGCTCTGCTGTGCCCTGTTAGACCTTTGGGAGAATTGGTGACTATGATTTGATTTAAAGAGAAAAGGGGAGGAAGAAAGACCCCACCAGACCAAAACCAGAAGCATTAATTAGAAGCACTATACTTTCAAAGGCTATGAAAAACAAACAGGGAAAAAAAAAAAACCAACACTCCTGTACACCTTGAAAAAAGAAAAGTTGGTATTTTCATACTTTAGATGAATTTCTACCTTAATGCATTTTAAACTCATAGGGGAAAATTGCAGGCTAAAGGAAGCTATGAATCCTTTTGCTTGAATATGGACTTMAGGGAAGGGGTGGTGTTGTTTCTGTCTGAAACCCCCTGAAACCATGGAGTTCTGGGCCGTAGGCAAGGCCAACAGCCATCTCACTGCAGAAATAATTACTGCAAGTGATAAACAGAACCAGTTACATATCTGGTGTTTATTATCCAAGGAAGCAGCCACTGTAGTTGTGTTGAGTATAGTTGTTTTGTTTTGCTTTTTTTAATAAAAATCTGCAGTGTTCCAATGCTGGCTTGTCAGAGTGCCCATTATTGATGAGCAATTAAAATCTCTTAAAAACTGGCCTATATCCATCTTGTTTGCAGAAYCAGAGGTCTAAAGGTTGAGCAGTGTTCCAATTAAATCTGTTTTCCAATGAGGGAGTACAAAATTAATTATTGTGCCATCTGAAAAAAAAAGAAGAAAAGAAAAAAAAAAAAGAATTCAAGGACCTAGCACTCACCAAACCAAGCATGCCTTTTTCTTTTAAATGGATGAAATTGTTGTATAGTAAGATAGTGTCTAAAAGGTGATGTCTAAACCATGTTATACTCATAGCACCTACCCTAAGCTTTGGAATGAAAAGTTTCTRGGATGTGAATGAGCATTCAGAGCCAAGACAATTAATTTATTAGGGCCTCTGATGGGCTGATGAACTGGAAAGCAATCTGATGCATATGTGATGTCCATGTGCTGGTTTTTATCCCTGTGTATTTGATACAGAATCAGGTACAAAAAAGGTGCTGAGGCTAAAAATTAAGTATTAAATATTAAGTGTCATTTTGAAACAAATACAATCTTGTAGTWTTTGTGATAAGCATGTGACCTGCATAGCTAAGGGCAGAAAAACAAGTTACTGTGGGGTAAATTGGCTGCATATCTGCTAGTCTGTACAAACTGTCCTTGTGTGTGCCCTACGAAGCAGCAAGTGAAACCAAGTGATTAAGGGGAGGTAAGGAAAGATTCCAATAACTTCACAGGATGTGTGTGAGGCACTTGCTGTGAAGAAACTGGTGCTTTGTAAGTTTATATTTTACCTTATCAGTAGTGACTTGGCCATCTATACCCAGAACACATGGTAGAATATATGTCTTCATGAGACTTTCCTTTCCTTGATGATTTATAAAGCTATTTCATAATAGCATTTACTTTTTTCAAAAAAGGTAAAATGTCATCTTCCCTACTGGTATTTGTTTCTCTCTCCTGTCTGCTGTTTTCCAGTGTGCAACTGCACCTTGGTGTACCTGGTGAGAACTTTTGCTCTTGCCTAAAGCACACACGTTGGGCCCAGCACTGAGAGCTTGAGCCAAGCTCATTCSTCTCAGTATGTGTTCAGATCACTCTGATGGCCCATGTCCTTGTGTTTTCCATTGTCACTGTGTTACAAGCTGTGGAATGGGCATCTCAGACTGTAGAAGATRCCAGAATGATTACTTCTGGAAGCTTAAAACTGGTAAAGAAGGATGAGTGAATTGAGAGAAAACTGAATTCAAGACCAAAATATATAGCAGAAGTGAAAAAGATTTTCTGGGAGGCGGGGTTGTTGTCATAGGGTTTGTTTTTGAGAAGGTGTGGAATGAGAAGATGAAGCATTCTGATAAAAAAATAATATATTTCGTTTCTCTATTCAAGTTCTCTGCAAAATTTTTTTCTGAGGTTTGAGGTCATTGGAACATGGCATGTGATTTTCCTTGTGTATGTTTTTCCTTCCAGTTTTAAAGACCATTTTGCATGGAATAAGGTAACATCTTGCATCCATAACATCTTAAGTGGGCAAAGATGGATTGAACACTACGGAGAGATTATAATAAAAAATCTTAATGATGACACTTGCCACTGCAAACTGACTTTCATAAAGGTAAGCACAACAGTAACCACAGCAACGTTGGCACTGCCTTTTCTAACAGTGGGAGGATGAAGCTCTCTGCTGAAGCTCAGAACTTCTGCTTACAAGCTGTAATTACCTGTGATTCCTTGAAAAACAACTCTGAAGGAACTGCCCCTCACTAGGCAGAGCCAGACAAGAAAGAGAAGCAACAGCTTTATTGGGTGATTCCACTGGAAATAGAGGAAGTATGAGGAAAGAAAGATCACAGAAAATCTACTCTGAGTTTGATGAGAGATGGAGGCACAAGGTGTCTACTGACAGTATTTTACCATATGGCTCTTTCTAACCCATGGGCACATGCTGTGGTTGCATTCATTCAGCAGCTGTAGGACCAGTTCTTATGCAGGATGCTTCTCCTGATGCTCTTTTCTAGCCCTTTCAGGTACTCAGAAGAGTTTAAATGAGARGTTAGGGTGTTACTCAAAGCTTTTGCTTCACTACAAGACCTTAAAAATTCTATYCTGCAAATCATCCTAGGAGAATTCCCTTAACCTGCATTTTCTGTATTTGACTGATGGAGAAAGGCTCTGCTTTACATAGAACAGAATATAMAGGTACAAGGGAAGTATTTCACTGTACCTAAGCATCATGGCRTGCTCAGCAGCAAGGCTTTTTAAATTTGTTTTCTTGAATACATTGTGCTTTCTAAGAAACATTAGGGTGAGTTTTCATTTGCAAATACTTACTTGAAAGTACTTTAATGTGTATTCAGATCTGCAATGGATGTTTAAAGTTCAAATTTTAAAGATTGAAAGCCTGCAAATCTAAAACCTTTGATACTGCAAATTGTTTAAAGTGGAGATTAACATATGCCTTCCTTCTCTTTCACTTCTGCAAATTTGGGAGAGATGTAGATTACCAACTCAGGACTCAGGGTCTACTGCCTTTGGGCAAAATTCAAGGTCAGCTGCTCTTCACCTTGTACTGCCCCAAAAGAAAGGCAAACAAAATRAATACTATTCTCAACATTAGTATATTGATAAGCCAACATACTTATAAGTTACTATTTTAATGGTGCTAACTGCAGTTGTTTGCATATGATATTGTAAAGCACATGTAAATTAATATTAATTTMAGAAAACTGCTCTACAGCCTGGTGCTGTTGGCACGGCAAAATGACCCACACTCAAGCTCTTATGGATGTTTTTTCCCCTTGTTCCTTTTACTTCTAGGCAAAGTATTGGAATCCAAATGCACATGAGATTGAAGGCAGTGTCATGGATAAATCTGGGAAAGTTGTGCATCGACTCTTTGGGAAGTGGCATGAAAGTTTATACTGTGGGACAACCTCATCTTCAAACTGCATATGGAGAGCAAGTTAGTGATCAGAATGGCTCATTTACACAAACTGAGATCTGCTTGAGTATAAGCTACTGTTTTCCTCCTTTATTAGGCCCCAATTTCATGTTATTTCTCTGTAGAATATTAGATTTTTGTCAAGCATTTAAAAGCTAGATCAGAAAAATACATAATTTAAATAATATGAGATCTTAATTCTGTGGCTTCCTACATTTTCTCCATTCTCCCTTATTTTAATATTTGGGTATGAAGTGGGTATTGAGGACTCTTGCCAGAAGGAAGAAAAAGGGAAAAAAAAAAAAGGAACAAGCCTCTCTGCTGTTTGTGCAGAGAAGTGTTGTTTATTTCGTGTGTTAAACATTGGAGGATGGCCCACAAAGCTCAGTTCTGTAATGACAGCCATAGATGAATTTCTCCTCAAGCTTGTGGGGTTTGGTCTATTGTGGTTTGGAAAAACACTCTGATAATAGCATGGCCTTCATCACAGTTGTGCCGTGATTCAGCTGAGAGAACAGAAATCTGTCTTGTTGCAGAGCAATTATCAAGGGGGATGTTCTCTTTTGTCACATTGTTAAAAACCTCTTGTTCCCACAGAACTGACACTGGGGATCAGGGATAAACAAATGGCTGAAAGGAGCTTGAAATGCTCCTTCTCAAGACAATAGCATTTAACTGGAATTCTGAATGTACTCTTTTCTTCTGTAGATCCAATGCCCAAAGATTATGAAAAGTGGTATGGATTTACTCAATTTGCACTGGAGTTAAATGAACTGGACCCACAAACTAGGTCATTACTTCCATCCACTGACACACGTTTTAGGCCAGACCAAAGGTAAGAAGCTTTAACTCTGAAATATTTTCCTTAAATAGTTGCTTGTCTTCTGTACAATCACTTTACCCTGAACTCAGACTATTTTTGTGTAGATACCTGTGGTGTGTTTCTATTTTTACATTAATGWGCATCTGAAACAGACATTTTAATCAATTAGGAAGAGATGGTCTAGTCATTATAGAAGTRTRTCCTAARACTGGCTCTTGGATGCTTCTAGRTAATTCCCTTTCCAAGGATGTTMAAACTTCARTGTTTCAGRTACTGGATGTTGCACACACAGTATYTGAATACCCAAAACCTGAGACACTTGAAACTTCTTTCCATGGTGAAATTTTTACTTTTGCAAATTTCCAAATAGAAGAATGTAATATAACTGTGCCTCTGAGCTTGTTACAGGAGTTAGTTTCAGTTAAGTGCTTTTTCACAGTGCAGTTGTCTGCAGAGGTAGCTGTGTGTCTTTCAAACACTGTGAAATACCTGCTGGAAAGGTTTGATTCTGAAGCAAAGATGGGGGCAGGAGACCAATTGTCTCATATTGCTGCTGCTGCAGGTTTCTCGAAGAAGGGAATATTGAAGGAGCTGAAATACAAAAGCAGAGGATTGAGCAGCTACAGAGAGAACGACGGAAGGTGCTAGAAGAAAACAATCTAGAGCATCAGCCTCGGTTTTTCAGGTACTAGATAACAATTAGCATATGCTATCATTTWTTGAAATTCTTATTATAGATCTAATTCTTAATTGCCATGTGGCAGGCTCCAATTTTTTCCAGGTTTCCCCTTTATGCTTTGGGTTTATAGTTTGGTGATGTAGAAGAATCCAGACTTAGTTACACTCAGAATTATGTATTACTTTTTCACTAATGCCTCCCTGAAGTTTATTTTTTTCTGCCTTGATGGCAATTGATATTTAGYCTACATTTGAATTTGCCTGAGTGAATGTAGTRTCTTYGATTCTTTGAAGCAAGGTGAAGTASCTGGATTTACCCTGATTACCTCTGCTSAACTTCTGCTGAATTCAATGGGATTGCCTGGTGTGAAAGTGTGCAGAGTTTGAGTCTTTTGTTTCCAGGGCTATTTTTGAGCATRTTTCCCCTACTTCTGGGGAAAGAATTATTCTGAGGGCACTTTATCTCTTCCTGTTGTAAATCAATTAAGCAGGAGACTACAGCAATCGAAAGACAAAAATAAATGCTGGTGAGGATGTGGTCTTGCCCTCCAGCATCTCTGTTCCCCTGCAGTGAAAGAGTTGGAGCCAAGGTGAATGTTGTATGGGCCTATTAACAGATCTGGGATCCTATTTTTTCAGCATATATGTGTGTGTGTGTGTATATATATATGTGTGTGTATATATATATATATATATATACACTGTACTGCTGAGGATGCAAAAAGGGAATGGCTTAGCTCACCAGCTTGTCAGAGATGCAGTGGTCTAATTCATCACGTGCCAATCACACCTACTAAAGGGAAGGATAGAGGCAAAGTCTAATACTTTGATTGTATATTCACAATGAGAATTATGAATGAAAATGAGGATTTGAGTCCTTACAATGAGGATTTGAAAACTGAGATTTATGCTGTAGATTTAAATGATGGAATAAAGAATTTAATTATTATATAGCAAAAKTATTAGAGCAGATATGAATGAATGCATTTGGCTCTTCAATAATTATTTCTCCCTGCCACAAATCACAAGCCTTGATTAACTTAAAAGAATAATTAGCTGTTGTGCCAAGTGTGTTGTGCACTGGATTAAAAGCAGGCTGATTCTTTGGCTCTTGGGTGAGGTAGAGCCTCTCTTTATGCAATAACCAAGTTGAGCTGTCTTCAGATAGGTGAAAGGAAAGTTCCCCCTCGAAGCTTTGAGACATGAAATAAACTTGGGCTGTAGTTTTAAGTACCAAGCACTGRCCTAGGACAGTGAAATATGAAATAATCTCAGCTGAACATGAGGCTGTTGAGATGCATCTCCACAGCCCAGTCCAGACACACCCATTCAGCTCTCCAGTCTGTACTGAGCTGTACTGCTCCTGGTTCATGGGCTGGATTGGTATCTGTGCATGGTGCTACACTGCATTACACAGCACGTGGATGGAAAATATAAGCTTACATTTGCTTAATCTTTGATAGGAAATCCAACGATGACTCCTGGGTGAGCAATGGAACCTACATGGACCTTAGAAAAGAACCTGGTTTTTCCAAACTGGACAATCCTGTCCTCTGGTGAAAGAGGAGCTAAGTGAAGATATTCTGTGCTGTATTCTTGGATCTGATTTAAAAGACATATATTTGAAATATAACTATATATCTATATATATATATATAAACACATACATAGACACACACATACAGGATATGTGTGTGGTGTGTGTATGTTTGCAAATGTGCATATCTCCAGAATTGTGCTTAATTTAGAATATGATAATTCATTTGTTTCCTTTACTCAACTATTGCAGTGATTGTTTGAATGTATAAATATCCTAACTTCTTTTTATAAAATATTTAATAAATAGTACTGAATGTTAACAGCTAGATGGAAAAGAGAGAAGCTTTTACACTACTTTTTCAATGTGTAATAATGTCAGYTCTGAGTTAAATTATGCCTTACTGAATCGCATTGGAGACAGTAGCACCAGCATGTCTTAGCTGTGCTGAGGAATCAGAGTCCAAGCCTTAGTAACTCAAACTGTAGGGAGGCTTCCACAGTGCAATGAGTAGTTCAGCTGTCTCTGGGTTGGTATAAACTGCTAAAACAGACTATCAGCTGGTGCTGGAATCTGRGTATGATCTTTTGCTGTCTGTAGGAAAGATTTAAGTAAGCTTTGGTTTCTATTAACTTTCTTCTTAGAATTATGGAAGAGGTAGTTGTGAGCTTACGTCGGTGGTTCTACTGCCTTATACATAAACTGTACCCGGTTAAATGTAGTGCTAGAAAGTCAGGAATCGCCAAAATTTTCCACTGGGAAAAATTTTCACTTCAAATTTATAGCCCCCAACAGGGCAAGAGGAGGAGATCATTTGTATATACTGCTTGAGCACTGACTAGATGAACAAGCTCTCTCTTTTTCCAGTAAGTGAAATCTACACAGAGCACGAAATCCTGTGCTTCCATAGCTTCATTTGTTTTTATTAACCTAAAAATTGCAACAGTAAGACTTTTTAAAAAGTAAGCAAACTGATTGTTTTACGCTAGAAATTTTTTCCTAGTATTTTGATATTTTCTACCTCTTAAAAAATAAATAACATATTTAAGATCTTATATTTAAAAAATTACCATCTGCCTTATGGAGAAGTGTATGGAGTCTTTGATCTTCCTCTGTTTGTTTGTTATGTTCAGATAAATATTTAAGTGTCTTGCACTAAATCAGTTGCATCCCTTTCCTGTAATTTTATACATATGGCTCAAATTGTGAAGCTRTTAAACCATAGGTCAGAAATTTAGCAGGAAACAAATGTAGCAGAAGCCTCACCTTTGAATGAAGACTATAGAGATGGGCAGTATTTTTGGCTTGTTCCATCAAATCATAAAGTCATTAACAGAACAATTTGCATTCCCACCTATCTGCAACCCAAGCCTGATCCATGATTCTTCAAATCTGCTCTATGTGTCTGCAACTCTCTGGCAGCAATGCAGTTTTCCATGTGATAGATCTGCATCCTGTCACCACCCCCTTTTCTTTTCTTCACATGCCACTGTAAAGACACAAAACAAACCCAAATKATGCCATGTTAAGCTGGCTTCTGGCTGGAAGAATTGGACATGGCATGGATGAAGTAGATTCCTAGGAGGACAGACTAGTAGCTTAGAAAAGCTTGCACTTTACTGCAATTGTGCTGCATTGTTCTAGAGAATACCTATTAAAAATGAATCCATGTATTATATGTAACATGAAGGAAATACTATGAAGGTTTTCAATTTTAAACAAAATCTGTGATGTCAGATTAGATGTATATTTGAATTTTGCTTTCTWTTACCTTGAAGCCTCATTGTCTCAGAGGCAGATGAATGCTTTTTCACCATTTTTCATTTTTYGCAGGATCTCTGCCTCACCATAATTTCTGTAATTTATTACCAAAGAAGTTAGCATAATTATTTCTAATTAATATGTCTTTGAAAAACTTGACTATCATGCCAGCAGCTTGCAACAAGGCAAGWTTCACATTTATATGAAGACAAAATCTGGGCTTTGATTCCAAAGGAAATCTCAACCTTTGGGGGCTGTTTGGCTTTTCAAGGAAAATGAGGTTCTCTCCATGASTTGTTCCCTTCCTGTGTTTTATCCTTGTATTAATTGTCAAAACCTGACACAGAAATGAGTTGGTAATTGTAATTGTCCTTGCTCTTGGTAATTACAATTTACACTAAAAATAAGGTTCATTTAAAAATAAAAGAGGGTAGAGGAAATTTTAAAGAACTTTTTTTAAAAGGAGCAAAATTTGTGAAGGCTGCATTAAGCTTGCTTATTGTCATATTTGGCAGCTACTGTGAAATACTGTCTGTTCTGATTGCTGGGTTTGTATATTCTGTKTGTGGAGGAGATTTCCCCCATACAGGTATTAAACAAAACAAATCTCATATGGGGTATTTGAGTCATGAYTTTTGAGAAATTAGACTGGCAGTGCCAAGTCTGGTTTCTCAAAAACTCTAAATTGTCTGAAACACATGGAATTAATGACAAGAAGYATTGGGCTGAGCAGTGCCTTATATAAAATTTTCTTCATCAAAATTTCTGTATCAAGAATATAAACTCCAGGATTTTAGTATTGTCTCCAGAAAAATACCTGAGAATAATCTAGGGCATTTCTTAATGCATGAAGCAAAATCATTGACCACRTAATTGCTCCTTTTGTAAATCTCTAATACATTCCTCCAAACACAATGTAACCAGTTGTGAACAATCCTCTGACCCCACATTTCCAACCACAGTAGTTTCCCTGCTTTCTTTTGTATGAAACAATTGGGTTTAGTTGTTCAACTTCTGTTAACTGTATATCAAGAAGTGGAAGAAAATTGTCTTGATGTTAGTTCTGTGTATTTCTGCATGTAAATATATTCAACATTCACAAACCTTATTATATTCTATAAAGTTATTCTTGGTAAAATACGAAATTTTGGTAATTTTCTTCCCCAAAACTTCAGCTATGTTAACAGGTACAAAATTTATATTAGCYTTCTGCAGTGTAACTAATTATAAGACAACTGTTGTTTTTAATATCTGACACTGAGGGACTTTTTATCCACTATTTCTACCCTGAATAGTAAWTTGAATGTATCAGGCAACTTAACTGCTTCCTTTCATACACAGCTGTGATTCCAAGGTATGTARCTCCATGGATCAGTCTTAAAATTTCCTGATGACCATTGCCTGCTGTTACAGCTCTCTTACTTCATGACTTTATAAACATCACTTAATATGATTTTTGGAGGCCAGTTTGAGAAGCACTCATCTGGCTCTGCCTTTCTTTGTGTGTCTCTTCACAAAGTAAAACCCACACTTCAAACTTCYGTGAAGGTGATGGAGCAGCTCAGGCCTTTGGGTGTTGAAACCTTTCTTCAGTTTTCAGTTGCAAAGCATAGAAAGAAAAAAAAAAAATCCAGGGAAATATGGTACATAGGAACAGAAACCCACAGCTCTACTTCCAGATTTGCATGCTTGGCACTTAGTTTCTGATTTTGATACAGTGTAAATTGGGGATTGCAMAACAGCATCACTTGTTCAGGAGGTGACTCTGGGTAGCGCGAAATGCCCTTTAGACCAAGTGGAATTAGAATGCACCATTAATCACTGCATTCCTTTTGGGATCTCTGCTCTCTGAGATATGCTTGATGTGATGGTTTTCCAGAACTGATCTACTTCTTTTAGATGCTTTTTTGGAATACAGATCCAGCAGTCTGCACTCACGTTCTTTATACAGAGCTCATAAAGTTAAATGCCTGGAAGGAAGACAAAAAACAGCCTGAATTTGGATAAGAAAACATCCTGGAGATCTGTTCTTCCAGTTGTCTTTCAAGGACTGGAAACAGGATTGCTGCTTTCCCTAAAACCTGGCACCTGAAGGACATAATAGTTGCAAACACAGTCATGTTATTATCTGGCAGCTTAGTGTTGACTCCAGATGACTGTAGAGAAAGGAACACCAATCCATGGGACCAGAACTASAGCCCAACCATGAACAGCTTTCATTTTGCACAAAGGTCCAGTACTGGTCTCAAAACAAACAAACAACCCCCACCAAAAACCAAAAACCCCAACCTTCCAAAGACCTCACCCCTTTCCATGCCCCCCACTTTCCCTCAGCTGTTTACAGTCCTGTTCAGGTGTTCCGTGTGGTCCCTTATTTAGTGTCCCATTTTTCTCTTTATTAGAAAAACATGATGAATAAAGAAACAGTCCCTTCTAACAAATGATAAATCATGCCTATAGGCTGYAGTTAAATTCTTTCCCAATAAATATTGTTCTGTCCTTTTGTATCTTTTCCTTGACTGTGAACWAGACTTCCTTGCACTCTGGAGTCAGACCTGGTAAGGGTTGTGTGCTATGGAAATGTGCAGCTCTATCTGCTCAGCAGATCCTGACTACTGAAGTCCTTGAATCTGCTTTTGTGTAAATCTCTTGTGTTGTCTCCCCAAATTACCAGCTTGGCGGGCAGGAAATTTTCAGCACATCTTGCTTTGTTCAGAATGGCTTCTTTTTCATGTACAACTCACACAGAAGGGGCAAGCTGAAGAGGAATGCAAAACTTAGCCCACAGTGCATTTTAATAGGAGAAGGATGACATCCAACTTGTCCACATACATCTTGCAAGGGCTAGAATGAGATGGTGCTATTTAAAGGAGTAACATTAAAATGAAAGGGTTTTTTTTGGTTGAGTGAATTATGAGTTCATAAATCATGCTGACAATAAATAAAATTCACAGTGTTCACTAAATCATCCTTTTGTTTTCTAGCTGCTGGTGGTTGCAACTCATTCCAGTAGCTGTGGGTTCATAAGAAATTGCACATTATTTGGCTTATCTTTTGAAACTTAGTAAATGCTGTAATTTACCACCAAATGTATTACTGTACTGCTCAGTTCTTAAATCCTGTTCTTGCTGCAGCTTTTTGAAAGCAATAAGATAAATTTTACACATAAGTAGTTGCCATATGTTAAAGAATTATTTTAAATGGTCCATTTTTTTAATCTAAGTTTTGGATTTGGTGTTACTAGTGTGTAAAAAAAAACTGTACTAAAGTTTACGAGAATGTTTGGGATGTTGATCCACAAGAGGTGATGACCTCTGTCAGCTCCACGCCTTGGAGATGGTTGGCATCCCCGAGAATCAGAAAGTCTTTGTGTTRACAGTATTTTACTAGTTCCAGTATTGGAAAAACATACCAAGTGTGTGAGGTATTGCATACGCAAAGCTGCTAAAATCTGAATTTGTTGTTTGTTTTGATAGGGCATTACTGATTTCAGAATGAGGAACAGAATATTATGTATTAGAATTATTGCTGACTTGCAGATATTTGAGAAGTCTTTCTGTAGTCAGGACCATCCTTGTTTTCTGCTTCACTCCAAAAATTTGTAATAATGTTGGAGCACCTTGATGCACAATTTGATTTATTATTTTTGTCTCTGTAACCTGTTTAGTTGGYTGTTAATAAATCATACTTGCAAAAGGTCACAGAGCACCCTGACTTTTTCCCAGGGGTTGTAAGCATCTGTCTTCAAAGGTTGTTAGTGGCATCTGAAACAAATCTTGCTGCTCTAGAGATCTGTGCTTTTTACACTTTCCAAAATGGCAAGTGGGAAAGAGCTTCCATCTGCTAGAACCCTGATTTATCACTCTTACAATCTGTCTGGTAGCTGTGCAATGTTCCAGTTGTACTGCTCTGTACAGCTCTGCTGCATGGCTATTGTGCCAGGCTSTGGGATGGAATTCATTTACACATGGAAGTTTATTCTTAAAAGCAGTTTTTGGTAGACAGATGTGCTGCATTAATATTATGCTTTAGCATGAATGTGGAAACCATAAACCAAATGTTCTTCATAAACCAACTTTTTTTTTTTTTTAAAAAAAAAGGAAACATGGTATGTACTGGATAAAATAAATAACTGGAAAGGAAGGATATCAATGTGGTGGTTTTCCCTTACAGAACATTATTTAGGACAATAGATCCGCCAGTCAGATCTCAACTATGTCTCACAGTTCCACCATATCTGTATAAGATGCCATATAGATGAGAATAGGATATTGAAAAATAGTGAGTGTAATTCCTGACCACCATGAAATTCCTGACTGCAGTTCTGCAGCACTTTGCAGGCTCAGTGTCTACAAAGATTTGGTGGGAGGGAGCATGGAGGTTTCAGGAGAGCTGGGAAAACTGAATATATAAATTTGTTACCATGCAAAATATCCTCAGCTCTTGTACCTGGCAGAATTAGGATAGAGGTCAAAAAAAAAACAGTCTTTATAGTGGGCAAGAATCARCTCCCGTTTTTCTGAAATCCAGCTGTTTTGGTTCTGTTTGGTTAAGAACTTTGGAACYTTCTCATCATATCAGGGGGAATTACCTGATACTGTTTAATTGGTATCTGAAATAACTAGCATTTAGTTCAAGTTGCTGGGAAAGTTGTGGTTTACAGAAGCAGTAATATTTTTCTCATAAAAGGGAGAGGAAGAGTGCAAGGGATGCTCATTAATGTTGCCCTAGTCATGAACACCCAGGGCAGCAGAAATTTCTCTTACACAAAAATTGATATGAATTTTTCATGACTGCCCCTCAAGCTAATACCTTGCCAAGCACCCACAGTGTGGTCAGTGCTACTCACACAAAACAGGCTGTTCTCCCCTGCACRAGTGCAAGGTAAACTTGGCTTATATAGACCTCATATCCAATTTGGTTTAAGCTCAGTTGTCTGTTCATTAATAGTACTCTCTATTTTAAAGTAATTTTGCTTATTGCAAAATTATTCAAACCACCAGGGAKGAAAAACAGACAGCTGAGCAAAGCTTGCTCTACATAGTAACCAACACAAATTGGCTCTTTTGTTGTTGTTTTTCATGCCTCTGTTATATTTCTTTCATCTTGCAGTCAAGCATTGCTCTCTGTCCTTTGTTTATTGATTTTTAATTTATACCCCTCTTTTGTAGCAGATGCATGAGAATTTGCAGSGTTACTTTCTGTTTTTAAATAGGGTTAAAACCTGGCCAGATACCAAAATCTGATGTATACTTATGAATTTGTATCTTTGCTTACTCTGTACCAAGGGAAATATTTGAAATTATTTTGTACTCTCATTTGAGATAAATCAACATTGCTCTACTGAACTGAGTGTAACCAAGGCTTAAGTTAATGGRGAATTTGTCTCTGTGGGGTCATTGATATAAGTTTTTACAGGCTCTCTAAACACTAATAAATTCCTGGAACATATGATGTTGTGTATGAACATCCACTGATGTTTCTGACTGTAATTTCTTAGACTCCAGGAATTATTGTTTTCCTCTAAATATCACGACACTACTTCTCCTTGAGGATTTTATGTGCTGATGTTTCCCTTGCTATTCTAGTAAAAGCAGCTGTTAGAATTCAAAACTGCTTTTCTTTTTCAGTTAACATAGTTTGTCTTTATTAAAACTTCTCTATAAAAATTTATTTCCAAAATTAAAAATTGCTTACTTTTCAGCTTGTGTTTAAAAAAAAAAATAAATAAAGGTTGCAGTAAATCAGCTTTGAATTACTGCAGTACATGCCTTGAAAAATCCTTCCCTCCTTAGGTTTTTATGAGGATGTCTGCAATGCCTAGATTGCTGCCTAAGGCAAGGAAGATTATGTAGATTTATCAATAGATGAGAAACTGTCTAATAGCTGAAAGAGATTTACTGTTTTGTTTACTGCTAGGTTTGTTATCATTTGGGCAATTGACAGGCTGAAGATGGAGTGAAGTCAAGAGATCATTCTACTTGTATTCATTGTTTGTTACTTGCACTTCAGACAATGAAGCAAATCCTGTAAAGGCAACAAGAAAAAGGCAACAAGAACTATATAGGCTTTTTGGATGGAAAAATCAATTTTTCTTATAAAGTTCAAAAATAGTGCACCAAATTATGAAGTCCTTTATGGGGAAAATCTTTTACTATGGATTTTGCCTGACAGAGCATTGCAAGTAGGTCAGTTACGGCAAACTTGGCTTTTTCTGAGTTCTCTAGTTACCAGAGGATGGTGAGCCTAGCCCTTCTWTAACATGTCCCCTTGCAATTTGGAGACAGAGTAAAGCTTCAATTGAAGTTGGTGCAGAGTAGAGAACTCTAGGAAATTATATTCTCACCTTTTGTGAATATCAGGAACTGAAAAATAGGATGTGCCACGTCTCAAGGGGGAAAAAAAAGTGCTGCAGAAGGAGCTCCACTGTATTTTATCTAGATGCAAAGTTTCCTGAAACTGATGCTCATGTGAATGCTTTGATCTTGATACCAACATGAACTGTTGTTTGACATGATGGGAGAAAGGAATGAGAGGAAAGAGGATATGCTGAAATAGAATTCTCAGTATTGAAGCATGCTGTCMTGAGGTCCTAGGAAAAAGAATAACTGCAGTTCCTGCTTTCCCAGTACTGGTTGCTCATTGTTTCCTTTCCTGATAATGCATCCTCTCAGGACATAGCTGGTCTTTCTTCTCTTTTAGAAACTGTATTGCTCACCCTGTGGCATGCTGGCATCGGTGAGGCTGGACAATAACTGTAGGAGAACCAAATGAGCCCCAGCTCAAGCTGACAGGTTCTGCAGGAGAAGTACAATCCCATCTCCCAGCTGCAAAGAGCTCTCTCTTTGGCAATAAGAAAGCCATCCACCCAAGGATGTTACAGATGCCATTCACTCAAATGAGTGCGCCATTCACCCAAATCAGTGCACCATTCAGAAAACAAGGGCAGTACAAGAAGCAAGGACATCAGTTTTAGTCCTGTGATGGAGCAAATAAATTATATTTTTAATTGTCAGAGAGGCCAACACTTTATTTCATAGATGAACTTGTTCTCCAGCATAGTGAGGACCTGGTCTGTAYGTGGAACTGCAATATAACAAGTAGTGCCAGCAAGCTGGAGCTGTGAATCTATCTCTAGCCATCACCAGTACAAATCTTCAGAATGTGCAGTGTTTCCTGCTCTGTTCAGAAGGACAGCAGCAGCCTTTTCACAGAAACAGTCAGGTTGGGCTCCATCCTKTTGACCCCCTCCCTTCAGATACTGAYAKWCATTGATGAGMTCCCCTCTCAGTTGTCTCTTCTCGAGGCTGAACAGGCTCAGCTCCCGCAGCCTTTCCTTGTAAGAGAGATGCTCCAGTCCCTTAATCATCTTTGTAGCCCTCCATTGGAACTGCTCCATGAGCTCCATGTCTCTCTTGTACTGGGGAGCCCAGAACTGAACACAGTGCTTTTATATCTACCAATCTATTTTGACCCAAAGCACCCCCATTATGGCACCTGCTGTCCAGGTGCATAATATAAATACAATATACACATTTGCATAATATAGAAAGAACTCCCAAGCTCCTTGTTTCAAAAAGAACTGTGTTCTTTTTCATCCTGTTCCCTTTCAGGTATGTTCTTACCTCACTGCCTGTAGGACATTGCAAAGCAAACACTTCGCTTTCACTGGCTGAAACTAGGAGGAGCAATAGCAAGCTGAAAAAATGAAGTGGCYTTATGAAGAAACATAGGGCCTTTGTCTTGGTACCCAATGGGGCTGAACTATCAGCCCYGTGTGAAATGGGGTGGGGTTTTAACTTCTGTACTCCATTGCAGTGTGTGTTTCTACAGCAGAAAATGCAGACAGCCCATGGCAGCTCCTGCTGCAGAGCCCCTGGGAAGCTGCAGGAACCCCGACTCACTTGTAGGGGCAATGCAGGAGCTGTCAGAGCTGTGACCAGAGATCACAGCTCCTCAGGACCCTCTGGAGCCACTGGCTTCTTTGCTGTTTGTGGTCTTCTCAACGAATCTGCTACTTTTATGGGCCATGGGCTGCTTCAAAGATTGCTAAACAAAATTCTCAATTTCTATCTTTGTGGGCACTTAAAACAGCATTTTTTTTTTGTTGTTCTGGAGAAAACTCTTTCAGATTGCCCTGGAACCTGAATTTCTGCTGTTGTTCCTGCAAGAGAGACTGAGCAGACAGTTAACAGGTAATGAGAAGGGAGATTA